TCCTTTACCCACAATGCTCGCGGAGGGATTCAAGACTGTGTGTGTGTGTGTGTGTGTGTGTGTGTGTGTGTGTATGTATATATATATATATATATATATATATATATATATATATATATATACATACATACACACATACATACACACAAACTCACTGGCCACTTCTTTAGGTACACCTTACTAGTGCCAAGTTGGACCCACTTTACCCTCAGAACTGCCTTAATCCTTCATGGCATAGATTCAACAAGGTACTGGAGATTTTCCTCTGAATTTTTAGTCCATATTGACATGATTGCATCATGTAGTTGCTGCAGATTTGTCTGCTGCACATCCATGATGTGAATCTCCTATTCCACCACATCCCAAAGGTGCTGTATTGGATCGAGATCTGGTGACTGTGGAGGCCATTTGAGTACAGTGAACTCATTGTTATGTTCAAGAAACCAGTTTGAGATGATTCGCGCTTTATGACATGGCGTGTATATATATATATATATATATATATATAAACACATAGTAAATGCACATGTATAATGGCAATTAAAACTTCTATTTTGTACAAAAATAATTGTGCAAAATAAAAGTTTGTATTTTGTGATAGTTTAAAAAAACACCATTCATCAGATCTTTTATTGTTGAATAAATGTTATTTTTTAATGCCTTTCATGCTTACCCTATAATGGTTTCCACAAATACAACTTTAAAAAAATGATAATAAACGTTCCTTGAGCCTATAAGAATGATTTGCAAATGATGATACGGCAGACTAGATTAATGATGCTAATATTCTGCATTGCGTCACGAAAATAAATGACAACTTAAGATAAAAGCCATTTTAAACTAATACTTTTTCCACAACTTTTAAGCTCTTACAAATATTTTTACAAGCATAAGGGAAATTTCGAAAGCTTTTCAGACGGTCAATAATGACTCACCAGGAATGCGTGTTTTATTCATAGGAGTGACTCTGAAGCCTTTAATTGGATACTGGAGTGGAGTGTTTGCAGGAGCCAGAATAAGCACGTCATTTTCTCTGCCCGTCCTGAAAAAGACACCAATGTTTCTGTCAAAAGCTCTATTAAAATTAGGGTGTGTGTGTGTGTGTGTGTGTGTGTGTGTGTGTGTGTGTGTGATTTGGCTGAAAGGTAAAAGTGTGAAAGGTAATAAACCTGATCTGGTGTTGTCTGAACTCTTCCGCACGGCGTTTCTGCATCTCCTCCAGTTCGTCTTTTGACACATATTTGTTTGCCGGATCTGTCTTTTGACAGGAACAAGCTGTTGGATTGTCATTGCGGAAAGGCCCTATACTGAGCAGGGGTGACAAAAAACTCAAGAATTATAATTGAGCAAAAGTAGCAGTTTTAAAATTGTTTAATAAATTGATAGACTGTATATAACCAGCGACCTTGCTGCTGTGAGGCGACAGTGCTAACCACTGAGCCACCATTATATTCATTCATTTTCCTTCAGCTTAGTTCCTTTATTCATTAGGGTTTACCACAGCGGTATGAACCACCAACTATTCCGGCATGTTTCGTGCAGCGGATGTCCTTCCAGCCACAACCCAGTACTGGGAAACACCCATACACACTCATTCACACACACACTCATTCACACATACAGTACGGCCAATTTAGTTTATTCAATTCGCCTATAGCGCATGTGCTTGGACTGTGGAGCATCTGGAGGGAAACCCATGCTAACACAGAGAGAAATTGCAAACTCCACACAGAATTGCCACTTGACCCAGCTGGGGTTTGAACTGGCTTCTTGCTGTGAGGCCAAACTGTAAATAATACAAGGAAGTGACCGCGTCTGAGTTAAACATTACTGTGAAATGAATCTACTTACTTTGGTCTGGGGAAGTTGGGTGTTCTTGAAGAATTGCTGTAACTTAAAGTCCTGAAAACACAAATTTGAGTACAATTTACATGGGCGTGTTGTTTGTGTTCCAATGAAACTGGAGCAGTGGGGAATAGTGTCAAATATCTTCCCACACCATGGTATTATATTACTTTTAAGGTGGGAAGGATGTTAGGTGTGCCGTTTAAGCGTCAAAAATTAAAATGTAAACACAGCAGCTGTGGCTTTCTTTGACAGTATTAAAACTAATCGCAATGAATGCTGTTAAGACTTTTTAACATATGCAAAAGCATGGTCAAGAGTAGGGCCAGATAGAATCCGCAGACATTTGTTGCTATTTCTGCTGAGAATTTTGTAAAACATCTGTGGATTTATGCAGAATAATTTTAGGAGTATCGCAACTTAAAAACTTAATAACTTAAATAAAAGATACAATTAAACGTTTATTTAATGTTTGCAATGCAAATCCTATTAGATCTACTTATTTGGAAAACAAACCAAGTCTCTCAAATAATATATCTACTAAAAGAAAATCTTACTTTACAAGCTGTATTATACATACAGTTGAAGTCAGAATTATTAACCTTTTGATTTTTTTTTCTTTTTTAAATATTTCCCAAATGATGTTGAACAGAGCAAGGAAATTTTCACAGTATGTCTGATAATATTTTTTCTTCCAGAGAAAGTCTTATTTGTTTTATTTTGGGAAGTAAAAAAACAGTTTTTAATTTTTTACGAACTGTTTTAAGGTCAAAATTATTATCCCCTTTAAGCTAATTTTTTCAACTGTCTACAGAACAAACCATTGTTATACGATATCTTGTCTATTTACCCTAACCTGCCTAGTTAACCTAATTAACCTAGTTAAGCCTTTAAGCTGTATAGAAGTGTCTTGAAAAATATCTAGTCAAATATTATGTACTGTCATCATGACAAAGATAAAATAAATCAGTTATTAGAGACGAGTTATTAAAACTATTATGTTTAGAATTGTGTTGACAAAATCTTCTCTCCGTTAAACAGAAATTGGGGGAAAAATAAACAGGGGGACTAAAAATTCAAGGGGGCTAATAATTATGACTTCAGCTGTAAATCACATGAACATTTTAATATTACTATTATTAATAACACAATATTGTTAGTGAAATTAATTAAACTAATTAAATTAAATTAAATAATAAAAATAATAAGTTTTCCTTAATTCCTTCATGTTGCCCCAACACAAAACGATTGTGTGGAACCCAGCATTTTGTTTACACTATACCAATAAGATCGTACAACATTAACCACAAAATCAAAAAATTGCGAATTGTCATTAGATTTCATTGGTCAAACTGCTTAAAACAAAATGAATGTCATTACACATTGCTAGCTGCTCTACTTAAATGACTCGATTTTTAATTTTGGGTGAAGTATCCACACTGCAAAAAAAAAAATTTAAAAATTTAAAAATAAATAAAAAATTTAAAAAAAAAAAATCGCTGGGTTCCACATAATTCCTTCTTGTTTTCCCAACACAATTAAATTACGTTAACTTAATTGTTTTTCCAAATTTAAGTTGGTTGAACATAAAACAATTAGGCTGTCCCAAAAAACCTTAATTCAAGAGTTCACACTTAGCTGATGATTAATTATAAGCTTGTTTGGCATGCTGTCCCGGGAAAGAGCCCTGGGCTCATAAGAACTTTGAGCCCTGGGCTCCCTCACATTGCAAGGTGGGAGGGGAGTTTGAGCTCAGGTAGATCTCGAGAACTCCCCTGCTGTAGCAATAAATGAACAGTAAGTGATTGCTCTTGAGAGATAACTACATACTAGAAGCATGTCTATGGTGCTAATTTGGATTAGTCAATTAACTTAAGTTGCATGTTTTTGAACGGTGGGAGGAAACCGGGAAACCCGAGGGAAACCCACGTGAGCACCGGGAGAAAGTGCAAACTCCGCACAGAAACGTCTGCTGGTTTGGTAAAGCCTGGAACCAGAGATGTTCTTGCTGTGAGACAACAGTGCTAACCACTGGGCCACCGTGTCACCCATCTAGGAAGGAGGAGGAGTAGGGGTGGAAGGGGGGGACTCTTCAAAACGAAGATAGCGGTGGAATGTAACCCAGGGTATTTGTAGTAGTTTAGGAGTCGTCTGATTGGTGCATTGAAAATTGAATAATTCGGATCCAGCCGCTAGCAATCATAAGCACGTGATCCTCTCGAAATTAGTTTATAAATAAACTTCACAAATTGTGTTGGTTCAACTTTTATTAGATAAGTAGTTTGAACAAGCAGCAAAAGTAACTTTTTAAGTACATAACATAACATAACATTTGTGATAAGGTCCATTAAGGATTTTGCCAGTTAACCTCAACTTAAGAAAAAAAAACTATGCTATTACAGACACAACTAAGACGCAATAAATCCAATAAATCTCACATATTTACCACCTCTTGACTCGCCGAAGATCGAAACTTGGCCTACTTGGATGATTGTGGATGGCACAACTGTTCATTCATTTTTCCTTCAGCTTAGTCCCTGATTTTATTCAATTCAATTCAATTCATCTTTATTCCTATAGCACTTTTACAATGTAAATTGTGTCAAAGCAGCTTAACATAGAAGTTCTAGTAAGCTGAAACTGTATCGGTCTAGTTTTCAGAGTTGAAGTTCAGTTTAGTTCAATGTGGTTTAATTTGATTTCAAGTCCAAACACTAAGGAGCAAATCCATTGATATTCAGCTCCACAAGTCCCAAACCATGCAAGTCAGTGGCGACAATTTATCAGGGATCGCCGCAGCGGAATGAACCACCAACTATTCTGGCTCATGTTTTACACAGCGGATGGCCTTCCAGCTCTAAATTGGTACAACTCAAGTAAAATAATGTTTTACTGGTGCTTTACCTTCTGAATTGTTTAATCACCTTGTGACAAGGCAGAAGTCATGCATACCTACTTACGTTCTTTTTTATATATTAACCTGACTCATTACAATCCACTTTCATTGTTCAGTCATGGGTCATTTTCCAGCTTCAAGCCCTCAGACTATATGAGAAGGCTTGTAAGGTTCTATCTGACATTTTTTTCAAATTTGAGTTATTGACATATTCTTATTAAATGGCAACTTATTTACATTATGGGATGCTTTGTTGTAAATTCTTTACATTTTAAGACTTTTTATTTAAAAAACAAATGTTACACACAGGTTCCCAGAGATGAGTTGCAGCTGGAAGGGCATGCGTTGAGTAAAAAAATGTGCTGGATAAGTTGGCGCTTCATTCCGCTGTGGCGACCCCGGATTAATAAAGGGACTAAGCCGACAAGAAAATGAATGAATGAATGAATGAATGTTACACACATACTGTTTGCTAGGGAATCCAAAAACGTTGAAGCTCAATATCTCAAGATCATTCAGAACGCAGAGAGAACCTTTAAAATCCAAGGTGACGAAATGCCAAGTATACACTCTCCTAGTGTGCTTTTGAAAAAATCATTATATTTATCCTTACATAGTTACACAGAGATTTTTTTATTTCATTTTTTTGTAAAATGTTAAAACATTGGTGTCTGGGATGCATCAAATTCAGAGAATGTAGTGAATATTAATGTTTAAAGGGTGTAATGAGATATAAAGCGACTGTAAATTATCTACTGAGTGAAGTAAAGGACATACTGTTTATTTTTGATAATGTATTTACAGTTACTTAATATAGCTGTAAATCAAATCAAATAGTTTAGTGGTCCAGTAAGCTGACCGGGGTGTCACTAGCCAATCTAGAGGCTGTGTACACCAGGCAGCTAAAGAGAACCACAAATTCAATCTTATAAGTGACACTGCTCGTGGTCTACATTCAGAGTTTCAGCTGCTTCCTTCTGGTCGCAGGTTTCTAGTATTAAGCTGTAGAACATACATATGAAACAGAGGTGTTTCGGTGACTTGTATATTTTAGTATACACACACTTAAGTGTTTTTATGTTTATTTTTTATGTCTTAATGTTTATTTGTTGTTGTTACTATGCGTGTTCCTTTCTGTGGTTATGGATGAGGACTCTTGACTGCAAACCAAATCTACCTTCGGGTGTAAAAAGGCAACCTGCCTACCTACCTAAATAATTTTGCAAATAAATGCCACCGTTCTGTATAAACCAGTTTAGAGAAGCAAGGTAATTGTATTTTCTTCCCCATACTGCACATTATTAGTTTATTTCGATTATTCAAAGAATTGCACATGACTATATGTATTGGTATTGATGAAATGTGGGTTGGGTTGGAAATTTTGCATCATTGCTTTAAAATGTTTCACGCTTAGTTGGACTTTTCTTCTTTTTTGGGGTAATTTGTTAACGAAAGATATGTTTGTTTTAAAAATGATAGCCTATTTAAAAAAAAAAAGTTTTCAGAAAAGTAATTCACATCCCTGCTGAAAAATCCAGCGTAAACCAGCCTAGGCCTGGTTTTAGAGGGGTTTTGGCCACTTCCAGGTTGGTTTCCAGCTATTTCCAGCCTGGTCTTAGCTGATCAGACTGTGAGATGACCAGCTAAAACCAGCTTGACCAGCCTAGCCAAGCTGGGAGTCCAGCTAAAACCAGCTATATCCAGCTTAAACCAGGCTGGTCAAGCTGGTTTTAGCTGGATTTGGCTGGTCATTTTTTAGCCTGACCAGGTTAGACCAGCCTGGAAATGGCCAAAACCTACTCTAAAACCAGGCTGGTTGACCAGCTAAAACCAGCCAACCAGCCTAGGCTGGATTAAGCTGGACTTTTCAGCAGCGATACAATTTCAATTATGTAATAACTACTTAGCCAACCTATACTTACAGCCTATTATAAGCAACTTGCCCAAAACTAGATGACTAATGGTCATCATACTTCACAACTTAACAAAGGAATTAATTGAGAAACACCCTAATTAATTGAGAATGTGTTTATCCCCGAATAAACACATTCTCAATACGGTAGCATCAAAATAGGACGCATCCAAGTCAAACTATAATGAATTCGTTATTAGGGAAGAGTTTTACACTGTTACAGCGTGCAACAAGCTCATTTTAAGGGTCTCATGTGTTATAAAATGTTGACTTACCTCACTATGTGTGCTGAAGGTTTACTCCAAATGAAATCAGAATAAAATACCGCGAGAAGGATGACCGTGAATAAAATTAAGATCAATACAATTTTGCGAGATCCATACATGGTTAAATCTGTCCAAATTACATCTTGATTGTAAACATTGTCCTACACTTGTGCATATAAATGTCGAAACGAATCGTTAAAAGCGTATTAAAGTAACGTCAATGAGCGTCAAATGACATTTAAAGATACCGGGACACAGGTGTGTTACCTGACCAAAAGTATTGGGAGTGTCCGTATGGCAAGCCGATTGCACACTTAATCTAAAACCTGAAAGGATCCTATTCCATGCTACCAGAACTTATTCAGTTAGCATCTATTACATTATTAGTATAATTCGGTGGCCTTTTTACTATTGTGTGAGTTTTTAAATAGATAGTAGCATTAAAATGACATATTAAATGTTTGTTTACATCTAGAAGCCTTTTTTTTTTAGCTCTCGCTCTTCAAGTTAAACATTAAAGGGATAGTTCACCCTAAAAATTTAAATTTAGTCATTTTTGACTTTGTTTTAAAGCAATTTGACGTTTTTTTCAGTGTTGAAAACACAAAAGAAAATACACTTGCCGGCCACTTTATTAGGTACACCTGTCCAACTGCTCGTTAATGAACATTTCTAATCAGCCAATCACATGGCAGGAACTCAATGCATTTAGGCATGTAGACATGATCAAGATGATCTGCTGCAGTTCAAACCAAGCATCAGAAAGGACAAGAAAGGTAATTTAAATGACTTTGAACGTGGCATGGTTGTTGGTACCAGACGGACTGGTCTGAATATTTCAGAAACTCCTGATCTACTGGAATTTTCATGCACAACCATCCCTAGGGTTTACAAAGAATGGTCAGAAAAAGAGAAAATATCCAGTGAGCGGCAGTTCTGTCAGCACAAAAACCTTGTTGATGTCAGAGGTCAGAGGAGAATGGCCAGACTGGTTTTGAGCTGATAGAAAGGCAACAGTAACTCAAATAACCACTCGTTACAACCAAGGTATGCAGAAGAGCATCTTGTCCAACGTCCAACCTTGAGGCAAATGGGCTACAGCAGCAGAAGACCACACCGTGGTGACCCTCCTAGCTAAGAACAGGAAACTGAGGCTACAATTCACACAGGCTCACCAAAATTGGTCAATGGAAGATTGGAAAAACTTGCCTGCTCTGATGAGTCTCGATACCTGCTGCGACATTCGAATGGTAGGGGCAGAATATGGTGACAACAACATGAAAGCATGGATCCATCCTGCCTTCTATCAATGGGACAGGCTGCTGGGGGTGGTGTAATGGTGTGTGGCACATTTTCTTTGCGCACTTTGGGCCAATCAATACTTTGGGACGTGGTGGAATGGATGATTCACATCATGGATGTGCAGCCGTCAAATCTGCAGCAACTGCATGATGCTATCATGTCAATAAGGACCAAAATCTCTAAAGAATAATTCCAGTATCTTGTTCAATCTATGCCACAAAGGAATAAGGCAGTTCTGAAGGCAAAAAGGGGCCCAACCTGGTACCTAATAAACTGGCTGGTGGGTGTATATTAAAGAATGTTGGAAATAATAGCAATTTGCTACATTCTTCAGGATATCTTCTTTTGTGTTCAACGGAAGAGAGAAACTCACACTGGTTTGAAACAAGGGTGAGTGAAGGATTTTTAGATGAAATTATGTTTTTTTTTGAGTAGCAAATATACTTTAAATATACGTTTATAATATGTCTATTATAAAAGATTTGTTGTTATAGAGACACACCCTGATTTGATAAGATATGTTGTAGAATAAGTTTATGATTTAGATTATTCATCAAATACCCTTGAAAGACTTTTATCAGATATTTGTATGCTTTTTCTGACCAAAATACAACACATATGCGTGCTATCTGGGTACCGTGTATTCTTCAAGCTCAGAATAAATTACAAAATACAACTCACTAATAACATTTTAGATTCACTCTAGACAAAAACAACAACAACATAATTCAGGTGATAAGACTGTTACAGTAATCAGCTAGTTACCAGCCTTCCATCTGAAATTGCCCCTTTACTCTCATTCATTATTCCCTAAATTAGTCTGCTAATTCAGTTTACTTTAGGTAGTGATTGAAACGAGTGAGTGAATTCGAGCACATAATTTTGTTTGTGTTCTGCTGGTTGATAAATCCCTTTATTAGATTTTCAACCTCATAATCAGACCCTGTGATGGTTAGTAAAAATGTATTGAGCTGTCTATTAGGGATGAAACAACATGCATACAAGCATTACATTAATCAATAAATATTTATGTTGAAACTTGCACCGGAGGATTGTGAGAAATATAATTGTGTTTGGATGCCGTCTTGTGTTCAGACGTGGAAATTCATTCAACGCTAGAACTCTCAAGACTGCATTGTGGCATTTTTTTTAGATGTTGAGTGTCACAGCGGAATGAACCACCAACTTATCCAGCATATGTTTTACACAGCGGATGCCCTTCCAGCTGTAACCCAGTACTGGGAAACATCTCTTGCATTCACACTTATAGAATGTAGTTTATTCAGTTCACATATATAGGCTACCGCATGTGTTTGGGTGTAGCACCCGGAGGAAACCAAATATGGGGAGAACATGCAAACTCCACACAGAAATGCCAGTTGACCCAGCCGGGACTCGAACCAGTGACCTTCTTTCTGTATAACGACAGTGCTATCCACTGAGCCACCACGCCAACCATCCCAAACCAAAAATATTATTTACTCAACCTCAAGTGGTTTCAAACCTTTTGCCGTTTCTTTCTTTGTTTGAACACAAAAGATGTTTTAAAGAAAGCTAAAAACCTCTAACCATTGACTTCCATAGCCTAGTAGGGAAAACAAACATGGAAGTCAATGGTGGTTTTCGACATTCAACTAATATAGCTATTACACAATACACCACAGTTCACTGTAAATGACAGGACAATTTAGCCATCAGTTCACTAATACTGTTCATTCATTAACAGTGTTGTAATACATTTTATAATACACTATATAATACACTTTAATTTGTATGGTTTAAAAACACTACTCGGCCTATAAATTATGACAGTAGCTAAGGGATATATTAAAAAATATTGTAAAAAAAAAGAAAAAGAAAAAAGATCTAATTAATATGAATTAACATTATTTAGTCAGAGTATTTGCAAAAAATTGTAAAAAATTAAAACCAACTCACCATCCAGGCAGATATTCCGAGGTATAGCTGATAGAAGTACAAATTTAACTTGAATTTAAATAAATTAGCGTTTATACAATCTGTCCAGCAGGTGTCGACACTGCACTGCATTTCAATCTTTTCAAAACTGAATTATAATAAGAAGCTTATATTAAATCAATACATTAGCTGCGTCCCAAATCGCATACTTATGCACTATTCTACGCCATTTTGTAGTATAAATAGTGTAAGTAGTGTGTTCACACTGAAAACTCTAAAGATAATAAGTGCACTTTAATTACCCGGATGATGCACTCATTCAGCCGCTAAACTGAAGTGTGAAATGATGGATGGACACTTCACGCACTCAACGACCGCAGGTTTAAGCCGCCATTTATTTGAGTGGAGAAATCATTGGTTTATGATCACGTTTTATTCCTATCAAACATTAAAGTTAATTTTATATAAAATCATAGTGTACACAAAAATCTCTGGGCTTGCTGCTTAACAAATACAAAATATTCAACAATTTATAAAAAATGAATAGCTGCGTCCCAAATCGCATACTTATGCACTATTCTACGCCATTTTGTAGTATAAATAGTGTAAGTAGTGTGTTCACACTGAAAACTCTTAAAATAATAAGTGCACTTTAATTACCCGGATGATGCACTCATTCAGCCGCTATAATGAAGTGTGTACTGATGGACACTTCATGCACTCAAGGACCGCAGGTTTGCTTACGTAGCGGAAGGGGCGGAGCTATCGGACGCACATGTTGGATAACTTTATTTATTTTGGATGGTGAAAGCAAAATTCTCCTACGAGAGTGATTATAGCGCCTCCCGATGGTGTATGCGGTTATACTTACGGCAGGTTTTATTTGATAGTTTGGTCATTTATTTCAATGATTTGGCAACCGTCAAACGTCATCAGGGAAACGGTTTGAATTTCCGTTTAGTAAAAAAACATTAGTGTGCCATTTGGGACAACAACACTACATACATAGTGCATGAGTGCATAGTGTATAGTGTGCCATTTGGGACGCAGCAAATGACTTTCTGGCCATCGGATATTAGGCATGGACATATATATTGCGATCGTGATTTTCGAAAGAATTTAATTGCTTTGTAAACGTTTATTATTACCATTTCATGAGTCTCCCCATACAGTTGAATAAAGCGTTTGGACCCGGAAGCCGATTCGCGTGACGTCAAACTTAACAAGCGTCTTAGCTATTTACGAAATAGTCGATCACGAGACGCAAAATGGCGTCTGAATGAAAATGGCGCGGCGGTGACGGAAGTTCGGAGGATCCTCAGGTTTGAAAAACAACTCACTCACATTTTATAACATTTATTTTGTGTAAACAAGAAATAACATGCTTGTCTCAGAACCTTGCTGCCACTGCTGTAAAATGAACCCACGTGTATACTATATTATACACATATTCTGTGTTACAGCATATTCTCTATTAAAAGTGTTTGTTCACTACAGTTACAATGGTATTAGTCAGTAAGGGATACAACAAGCAAACTTGTGACTTTAAATATATATAAAATCAATACATGATGTCATCTTTGCGTTTAATCTCAACACAATAAGTAGGCCTAACTAAAATAAAAGACAAACGTTTTGAATAGCCTGCAAAACTAGAGCACATTGTTGAAATGCTTAGGCCTATTAAGGTATGAATTTAATGTAAGGTCAATAAAAGCAAATTCCCATAACTGGAAATGAGCGAAACGTAAAAAAAAAAAGTACAAATGAGAGGATTGTACAATTCATACAAACCAGCAATTGTACAATTTATAAACCGGCAATAAATGTAAACAGTTACAAAATGTTGAGAGATTGTGTTGATATACTTGTGGTGTAGTGCTTTTACGTTTATAATCTACCTCTAATATTTATAAATATGTGTATTTAAATACTAAAATAATTGTAAGATAAATCCCCTTCATTGCTCCTTAAAGGGACAGTTCACCTAAAAATCTGATCTTAATTTACTCAACTTCCACATGGTCCAAACCTGTTTGAGTTTCTTTTCTCCTGATGAACACAAAAGGAGATATTTTGAAGAATGTTCAAAAATGGTAGCCATTAATTTTCATAATAAATACCTTCCTGGTGTAAAGGTCAATGGCTACCAGTCTTCAAAATATCTTCTGTTGTGTTCAACAGACTCATGAAACACAATACCGGTCTAGAACTAGAGAATGCTCATTTTTGGCTGAACTGTCCCTTTATGTTTTAAATGGCTAATCATCAACCTTTAATCATGGCATCAGTAATTGTGGCATCTTTCTCCAAGTTCACAGATATTTTCTTGCCAACCAGTTTGAAGATGTTCTCTGGTCTCACACCTTGTGGTTCGGCCACTTTCACCGTCAGCATGTCAAGGGTTAAAGTCTCACCCATTTTTAGTGGTTTCCGGGCCACCACTGATTTACCCAACTGCAAAAAACATAGAAATTAAACATATATAATAAATGTTATATTAAAACAGTGATATAGATTTCTTATTTAAGCAAATATAATCGATCATGGATATTAGTCTAGAGATAACTAGTCTAGTGCGCCATCTGCTGTAAAAACTAACCTAGTTCCATCTGCTGTTAAAACTAGCCTAGAGCTCCATCTGCTGTTAAAATTAGCCTAGAGCGCCATCTGCTGTTAAAACTAGTTTAGAGCACCATCTGCTGTTAAAACTAGTCTAGAGCACCATCTGCTGTTAAAATTAGCCTAGAGCGCCATCTGCTGTTAAAACTAGTTTAGAGCACCATCTGCTGTTAAAATTAGCCTAGAGCGCCATCTGCTGTTAAAACTAGTTTAGAGCACCATCTGCTATTAAAACTAGTCTAGAGCACCATCTGCTGTTAAAATTAGCCTAGAGCGCCATCTGCTGTTAAAACTAGTCTAGAGCACCATGTGCTGTTAAAACTAGTCTAGAGCACCATCTGCTGTTAAAATTAGCCTAGAGCGCCATCTGCTGTTAAAACTAGTCTAGAGCACCATCTGCTGTTAAAATTAGCCTAGAGCACCATCTGCTGTTAAAACTAGTCTAGAGCACCATCTGCTGTTAAAACTAGTCTAGAGCACCATCTGCTGTTAAAATTAGCCTAGAGTGCCATCTGCTGTTAAAACTAGTCTAGAGCACCATCGGCTGTTAAAACTAGCCTAGAGCGCCATCTGCTGTTAAAAACTAGCCTAGAGCGTCATTTGCTGTTATAAACTAGTCTAGAGCACGATCTGCTGTTAAAACTAGTCTAGAACTTCATCAGCTGTTAAAGCTAGTCTAGAGCTCCATCTGCTGTTAAAACTAGCCAAGAGTGTCATCTGCTGTTAAAACTAGTCTAGAGCGCCGTCTGTGTTAAAAACTAGTCTATAGCGCCATTTGTTGGTAAAACCAGTCTAGAGCACCATCTGTGTTAAAGGATCACGAAACACCAAAACACATTTTTTGAGCTGTTGACAGTGGTATATGTGTCCCACATTGCTAAAAACACTATTAGGACACCTATATTTCACTAAAAAGTGTAAATTGCTTGTTTTTGCGTTATTTCAAGCAAATTCGTACTTCCTGTTTGAAACGAATTTTTGAAGCTGCGTCACGGTCATGACATAATAGCGTGTATTCCAGCGTGCAGACTGGACATCTGTGCCAGAGTGAGTCTTATTACGTCTTACAGTGTGTTGCATTAATGCATGAGTAAGGCTTGGTTCAAACCAATCAGCACGCTCTATTGTGCAACTTCATTAATATTCATTAGTGTCACCGTGTTTACACCACAAAGACGCCACGTTGTGTTGGCAAAACACGCTACCTGCCGTGTGCATCTAAGTTTTCGGGAAATGCGGAGTTTTTTTCTCTCATTCGCCGTGCGGTATCAAACATTGCATGAAAAATACACGCTTAGAGCAGTTCCTCGAATCAAATATCTCGTTTGTCGCGAGGGGCATGAATGAATTCCCTGAATGAAAGAGCCAAACTGCAGTTAAAGTCCAGCATTTAATAATTTGGCAAATAATTCGACTACAGATGTCCATGTAGGTTAGACACCATCACTTTCTCCTGTCTGTGTATTTTGACTGAAACTTGCGCGTGCCCAAATAGAAACTCCCACACCCTCCCACTTTAGTTCCTCCGACACTCCCCCCTAAACAGAGCTGGACACGCTCACTTTTCTGACTTTTTCCAAAGTAGAGGTGTGAAAACACCCTGCTGAAACGAGGGGGTTTCATGGCCCTAAACTAGTCTACAGTGCCATCTGCAGTTAAAAACTAGTCTAGAGTGTCGTCTGTGTTAAAAACAAGTCTAGAGTGCCATCTGTTTTTAAAACTAGTCTAAAGCGCCATCCGCTGTTAAAACTAGCTTAGAGCTCAATCTGCTGTTAAAAATAGCCTAGAGCGCCATCTGTTGTCAAAACTAGTCTAGAGCGCCATCTGCTGTTAAAACTAGCTTAGAGCTCAATCTGCTGTTAAAAATAGCCTAGAGCGCCATCTGTTGTCAAAACTAGTCTAGAGCACCATCTGCTGTTAAAACTAGCTTAGAGCTCAATCTGCTGATAAAAATAGCCTAGAGCGCCATCTGTTGTCAAAACTAGTCTAGAGCTCCGTCTGCTGTTAAAAATAGCCGAGCGCCATCTGTTGTTAAAACTAGTCTAGAGCTCCATCTGCTGTTAAAACTATCATAGAGTGCCATCTGCTGTTAAATACTAGCCTTACAGCGCCCTCTACTACTAAAAACTAGCCTTGAGCACAATCTGCTGTGATAATCATCTTTAGAGCGCCATCTGCTGTTCAAAACTAAGCTCAGAATTGATTCATGCATTAAGAAAATCTAAGAAATTATCTATTAATTGCAATGCATCAATTTATCTCCAGCCCAGCTCTTGTGCAGTCAAATATCAACACTTGGTAAATTAATAAAATGCAAAATAATAATGGCAATAGTAATATAATAAATAATGAAATGTGACCTTGCTGTGGCATGAAGCCTCACAGGGCAGCATCTGTTTGACTGGTGACCCCATGGCCATCTCCACCGCCCGGATGGCTTTCACCAGCTCTGCAAGTTCATCAGGCTCCAGCGAGGCCGCATGGTCACTGCCTTTCCAGCTTTTATCCAGAGTCACATGACGCTCCAGGACTTTTGCTCCGAGAGCCACAGCAGCTACAGACACATGGATGCCTGTCTCATGTCCGGAGTATCCGATGGGAATGTCCGGAAACTCCTTCTGGAACTCCTGTGGTGGAAAAAGAGGTTAATAAAATGTGCAAAGAACTCACTGCTTTTTATTTTATTTTATCACGTTTACATGAAACTATCCTCTAAATATAGTTAATATCTCATGTCATATTCATTGATTTACTCATGAATTGGCATAGTTTTGGTTAAAAAAATATTAATAATAATTAAACACATTTTGAATTAAGAGTTTTTTTCAAATATTTTCTATTTAAATGTTTGTAGTTTTTAGTTGTATTTTTTGCTTTTGATTTGCAGTTTACTATATTTCAAGTTTTATATATTTTTTTTATATATATTTGCAACCAAACTTTTTAGCACCTTGCATATTAATTTATCAAATTAAAATGCAGCAAAACCTGACTAAATACAACAATTTTTAAATTTTTTTTATTTAATTTTTTTAATTAAAGTTTATTTTGTTATATTATTATAGTTTCTAATATTTTCTGTTTTTATATTTATTTAAAATAATTTAGTTTAGTTTTTATAAAAATAATAATAATACTAATTACCATCATCATTATTATTATTATTATTATTATTATT